AGAATGATCATATAGTATGAGAAACTCTCCCATGTATATGTATCTCTATGCATGTAAATGTGCAGAAAATGTCAGGAAGAATCCTTTGGGGGGGATTAGGAGGGGCCTAGAGAGTGGCTAAAAGGGCCTCTATTTTATCCCTATTTGTTTAATATTTTAAAATGAGCTTATATCCATGTTTTGCTTGTGTAATTAAAATAAATTTAAAAGAATATAAAATACAGAACATTTATACATTTTTAAATAGTAATACAATACAGAATAATAATGTCATTCAGTGGTTCGGTGTACCAGCACAGCATTCACTGCACTGAGTGAAAGAACTTTAAGAATGGAATTTAGTACTCAGTTGTTTGATTCCATTTAGGTCATGAATATTTTCAGAAAAAGTCCTACGGGGAATTCTCATTTTGTAAGATTTTCCAGAAGGAAAATCTCCAAAGTTGTATACAACTCTGTCTTTGATAAATCATCTCTGATCCTGAAATAATAAAGAATTGAAGGTATGAAGAAAAGAATCAAGTTTTAGAGAAAAACGAGGCTCTCAAAACGAGGGATGGGGGTTGATGTGTGGGGGGGTGGTAGTTAAAGGGTACAGCGTTTCTTTTTGAGCTGACAAAATGTACTAAAATTAACTGGTGATGGTTTTGAACATCATCATATTGTACACTTCAAATGGGTGAATTGTATCATATGTGAGTCGTATCTCAATAAAGCTGTTAAAGAAAATAAACAGAAGGCTAGAAACAAAACAAAACAAAACAAAACAATTTGGTCTCAACTAAAACAAACGTCAAACCAGACTTTACAAAATGCTTAAATTGCTAAAAAATTTCAAGGAAATCTTGTCACAAGAACTGCTATAGATGCCGACAGTTTTCAGTGACTAAAGACAATGGGTTTTTGAGATTTGACCAAACTGTTAATCCTAGGTTCTGTTGACTTAAAAAATGTGCAAAGTGAGAGTTGCGAGTTAAGTTTTATTTGAGGCAAAATGAGGGCTGCAGCCCGGGAGACAGCGTTTCAGATAACTCTGAGAAACTGCTCCAAAGGAGGCGAGGGGAGGAGCCAGGATATATAGGAGTTTTGCAATGAAGAGCAGGTAATTGGGAACATCAAAAAATTATTGTTAAATAAAGAAAACCAGATATCTCAAGGTAAGGAATTTAGTGCTTTTCTATGTCTGGGAAGATGCAAGAGTCTGGGCTCACTGAAATCATTCCTTTGATATGCACCTCAGCTATCTGGGGCCAGTATCCTATATTTTCACATCCCAAGTTTCCTCAGGGCTCACCGCAGGGAGTGGCTGCAGTCTGATGGCTGCTAGATGGCAGGTATTCTTTTCAGCCCTGAGTTTCCTCAGGGCTCACCAGCTCACTTTGGAGGGCTGCAATCGTTGGTGACTGTGACATCCTTTGTTTCTTGATATGGCAGGAAATATTCCATTTATAACCATTCCATTTATCAGTACAAACTTCCTTGTGGAAAACATACTACTGAAACCTTTCTTCTCAAATCCTCGAAAAGCATGAGGTCACGCTGAGGCAAGTGCACAGCACAGGGACCCAATGAACCAGTCACAGGCAACTGAGAGCATGGGTCCTGAAAGTCGGAGGATGAAAGCGTGTAACGAAGTTGGAATAACAGTTACATTTGGAGAAAATTGCAGAATTATTGAATCTCACAAGTTCATTCTCTGATGGCGAGATTTTTGGGACTTGGCCTTGGCCATCTTCCGTGCCAGCTTGGTGCTGTGAGGCTTCTAGAGGTTCAGGGTCAGCAGTCCCCACCCCCAACAATTCAGCACCTCCCATTCAGCTTCCCAGAGCGCAGGCGTCTCCCGGTCTGGGGGGTGGGGCTTCTGAGTCAAGGCTGAGGCTGCATCCATTCCCATCCTCCGGGCACGTGCCACTCACCCGTCATCTCCAACCAGACTTTGAAGTGGCTGTCCTGGAACGAAGCTGAGTCTGGCCAGGCTTCCTGCTCCCTGACGTGCCTGGGGCTCTGGCACCCACCCCGGCTCCCCCGGGGCCCTCCTTCCCTTCCCGAGGGTTCTGGGCCGCACCTCGCCCCATCTCCCCAGTCTGTAAAGGGGGCCATCGGCGCCCGGCTCCGGGGGTGGGTGCGGGCGGAGGAGGCGCCCCGGGGGGTGGGGCGTAGGGGGTCGCCCTGCCCCCCAGCTCCCCAGGCCCTGTCTGGCGGCCGCCGTCCACCCGCTGCCCTGCCCCCACCTGCACGTGCCGCAGAATCCTCCGAGCGCACCAGTCCCCCAGCTCCGCGTAGCTGCCCGCCAGCTTGTCGTCGGCCTCCCCGAGCTGCTCCACCAGGCTGAGCAGCATCATGGGCACCGCCATGGACTCCGCGGCCGGGACCCCAGGGAGCTGGGGCCGGCCCAGCCCAGAGGGGTTCTCCCGCACCCGGTGCACGATCTGATCCATCATCTCCACCGCTTCGCTCTGGGGAGGGATGAGGGGAGGCCCAGGCTGAGCTGCATCATGGGCGCCTCCATGGACTCCGAGGCCGGGGCCCCAGACAGGAAGGTCTTTGTGATGTAAAATCAACAGGACCTGAGGCTGGAGGGAGGGTGATTCATTTGCTAATACTATGCGCTTGTGTTTGGCTCTGCAGTGTTTTTTTTTTTAATTTATTTTTTAATTTTTAACCCAAGTGCAACCGGTATCCACTAAACTGCACAAATCCTAGGAGCCCAGCTTTGTGAACTTGGGTCCCATTTGTGGTAGCATTTTGGTTATGGGTCTGTCTTGCTGTAAGTGCTCTGTCCCCGGGGCAGGGGTTACGTCATTCTCTTTTGGACTTGGAAAACAGAAGGTCCCCAATAAATGCTTGTTGAATGATGGTCAGAAAAGGGGTGAGGGGTGAGAGAGCACAGGGTTTTTTCTAAGCTGTCTTGCCTGAAAAAATTTGGGGGCCATATTTTTATTATATATTTTAAAATATTTTAATTAAAGCAGTAATATGTGCTCAGTGGGAAAAAGGTCAAGCAGTTCACCAAAGTATAAGTCAAACTCATAAATGCATGAATCCAAGAAACGCCCAAGTCCCCTCACCTCCATTAATGGTGGGCAGGGCAGCCTTGCCCACGAGTTTCTCTCTTCTTCTTTCTTCTTTCTCTCATCACCAGTGTGACAGTTTCAGTCCAGTCCTGCTGGACCACCTCAGACTCACATCAACGGTGCACTTCAGTGTGAGGCTAGTGGCAGCCCAGCAGTCAGTCTTTTGAATGGAATGCATTTTAGCCCAGTGTTCCGATGATGACCTGGGCCAGCGGGGCTGGCACCCAGCAGATGCTCAGCATCTCTTGGAGGAGCTGGTGAGGGTGGACCTCGATACAGCTCTGGAAGCTTCAGCCTAGTGGGCTAGGAGACTATTGGGAGTATTCCGCATTTTAGCAGAAGTATCCCCTTTCTACTTACATGCTGGCTATGGACTGCATTGTCTGTGTGTCCCCCCCCCCAACTCATACATTGAAATCCTAACCCTCAATGTGATGGGATTAATAGGTGAGGCCTTTAGAGGGCTTTTAGTTCATAAGGATGGAGCCCCATGAATGGAATTAGTGCCCTTATAAAAGAGACCGCAGAAAGCTCCCCCACCCTTTCCACCACAGGAGGACACAGCTAAATGACAGCCATCTATGAATCAGGAAGCAGGTCCTCGCTGGATACTAGCTCTGCCAGCACCACGGTCTTGGACTTCCCATTGTCCAGAACTGTGAGCAATAAATGTCTGTTGTTTAAAAGCTACCCAGTTTATGGTATTTTTGTTATAGCAGCCTGAATGGACTGTGGCCCCTCCCAGGTGGTCTGTGAGCTGGGCAGAAGTGGGCTGGGGCAGAGGGCCGTGGGTGGGAGCCTCCTTAGCAATGAGGGAGGCTCAGACGCTGGCCCATGAGGTGGGGGGTCTGGGGACTGTGAACTCTCAGGTAAGCAAAAGACTTCCGGGGGCCCTCAGAGGAGGGTGGTGTTGAGAGAAGCCCTGGAGGTCCACAAGGCCCCAAGAGAAAAGCCCCAGGCTGTCCCCCCTCCCCTGGGCCCATTATTAGCTATTCAAGTGGACCTGTGGCCTTGACTTTTACACAGGGAAGTTTGCCAGAACAGAGCTTGCACGTGTTTTAAGGAAAACTCGGTGAAACTCTTAGTAGCAAGCACATCATGAAACCGGCAAAGCAAACGAATGGTTCTTTCCAAACTGGGCTGCGGGTGGGGCAGGGCGGCATCACGCCACCTGCTTAGAAGCTGCATTTGGGTAGAAGAATATTTGACAGCGTGGTGAGGATGGGACCACGGGGGAAAGATGACATAGGCCTTGCCTGGGCTCCGCCAGGGAGACTGGGTTGGTGGGTGGAGTCACGCACCTTTCCAAGACGTGGCTTCCTCTTGTTGGAGCACATCGTGGCCCAGAAGGGCCCAACCCAAGCACTTCCTGGAGCCCACTTTACACTTGGCCTTCCAGGATGGGGCAGCTGACTCCATGGCCGATCTCTGTTTGTTTGCATTTGCGAGGGTCAGGAAGCCAGCAGCCTGTCCTTGTCACCTGCCTTTTCTGAGGCTATGGACACTAGAGAGAAGGCCAGCCACTGGCCACCAAGAAGACTGACCTCCCCACTCCCACGCGGCCCAGAGAGGCTGGCCAATTCTCAAGTCCCAGAAGCCACTTCTGTCACCCCATTCCTGATTCCTAGGGGAGAAGCTCAGGGTCAAGCCGGTTTTCTGCTTCCACTTGGAATTCAGACCCAGGGGAGAGCTCCAGCTGGAGTGGAGGGAGGCAACTGGCTGAATGACAGGCCCCTTCTGCCAAGGGAGAGCTTAAACTTCCAGGAAAACCAGCCTTCTCTCTCAGGGCACCCGCTTTCCCCTCTAGGCATCCAACAGGCAGTTGCAGAGGCTGCTGGGGGGGAGGGGGCAAGACAGGGGCGGAACTCCAGAGCGTGGAGAAAAGAGGAAGGGAAGAACTGATAAACCAAGCTTTGACGAAATAAGTCAAGGAAGGCCAATGCCATTGAACATATATTTATTGAAATCTACTCGATGCAAGGCACTGTGCTAGATCTGGAAGGGGAATCAGACATGAAGGGTCACCCCTGTCTTCTAAGAGCTCACAATCTAATGCGTCGGGGAGGGTGGGGAGGGAGAAGCTCTAGTGCAAAGCCGATTATAGTAAGTGCCATAAAATAGACAAGTTAAGGAGGCTGGGGAGGAATGAGAAAACAGTGCCAACAACCAAAATACGAGCTGGGGCAGGACACAGCTGTTCTCAGATCTGCAAGTAATGCTGAAGGCCATTTTTGTTTAAAGAGACCATTTCTACTCTTGAAAATAAACACCCAACTGATGCAAGGAGAACTACACAACGTAAGTATACTAGTCATACAGAAGTTAGCAATTCCCCAATCTGACGGGTTTGCTACAAGTAGCGAGACACTTCCAAAATAAAGAACAGGGTGGGCGGTGACTTAAACTCATTTCCTGGGGCAAACATGGGGTCAGTACAGGAACAGTGCCCAGACAGAAAAGCATTGGTCAAACTCACTGAGACTAGGAGGCATAGATTTGCACCCACCCTAGCAAACAGAATACAGTAGCACATTTAAAACAGGTGTTTACGACAGTCGGGTGGGCCTTGGGCCAGGAACGAGGGCCAGGTAGGACATGAGGAAAGCGAGCCGTGTTATTCTTCTCAGGAAGCAGCCACACGGGACAATGCAATTGCTCTTGACAGACTGCAAAAAGCAGAGACCCACTCAAGCTGGCCTAGGTCAAGGGAGTCTATGGCAGGGACACAAGTGGACCGGTGAGGGCAGTTGCCAGAGATCCCGGAAGGTAACCCAGTCAGGCCTCCCTTGCGGTGCTGGGGTTGAGGCTGCTCTGGGGGTGCCCAGCCGGAGCCCATAGATCTTCAAGCTGGTGCTGCCCATGGGGGCAACTCCTCTAAATCCCAGGTGGCTCCCTCTTTCTTCCAGCACCAGCTAGAAACTTCTCTCTCAGTTTCCTTGTTTGTACTTCCCAGTTGGAGAACCTGAAAGGTCTGGTCCACGTCTCCAGCGCTGTGGACCGGTTGCTGCCTTTGAGTCAGGTGCTCAGTTCTGGTTGAATTAATGTGGCCTAGACGGGGTGGGGGCCACATGGCGCACAATGGGGCTGGAGCCCCAGGCACGTGGAATGCAACCCCACGCGAGAGAGACTGACGCCCACCGTAACCGGGTGGGGCTCAGTCTGGAATGACACAACTAATGGGTATGACACAACTAATCCACACGGTTAATCTTATTTAGCAGCAAAAGTGGTAAACAGTTACCAGCAAGTATTCAAAACTCTAATAAAAGCCATGGAGGGTTTCTTTCAGAATATAAGAAAAGGGCCTATTTCGAAGGAGAGCCAGCATTCTGTATAACCCACCTGCTCTCCATTTGCCTTGCAAAAGGAATACGTGTGATTAGAAAGAAAAATGAAATGAGGTAGATACACAAATGCATAGACAAGCACACACGACAGCAAGTCTGATCACGTTTTGCATCTGACGTTAGCAGTAGACCTAGAGAGTCCAAGGAAATCCACCCCCCAGGGACCAGAGGCAAACACTTGAACTCGGTGCAACTACAGGACACACATTAAAGCCACAGAGAGCACGGACTTCACCTGCAAACAGAGTGACGGAAAAGACGTGTTCACTCTGGCAGACGGCCTGTTCAAGAGGAAATCATAGAACCAAGAGTGGAACAAAGGAAAGGAGGGCATGACGGGATGCCAAGATGCCATGCCCTGGCTGGGGACAAGTGCAGCGGTGATGGCGACGCTAAGTTCTGAGTTAATACTGCATCTGGATCCTTCATAAAACCCGGGCAAGACATGGCAAGGTACTTCCAGGTTAAGGTGCCAGACTTGCCCCACCGTGGGCGCCAACACTCCTTTTACCAAATAACAGGTGTAGCAAATACATCATAACAGCTTGAAAAGAGAAAACTCATGAGAGAAGGAAGCAGTGATTGCACACACAGATTCACAACTACTGCAAGAACTGAGGCCCCCAGAGCAGAAAGAATCACTACGCAACAAGTGCTGTCAGCTTCTCTCCAGCCCGGGGGGTCAGGATGGAGACGTCACAGAGAGCCACTGGCGTGGCCTGGGGGCCATTCCAGAGTACCTTCTGGCTAAGGTCACAAGGGTCACTGTGGGACCCTGCTTCCCAGCCTCTACCCCAGGCACAGCTGCTGGGAAGTCACACTACAGCCCTGGTGAGGCCAGCTTCTACCTGTGGGCTCTGCGGGCCACTGGAGGAGCCAGGTTCCTGGCCAGCCCTTGCTGCTGAAAGTGACAGGCCAGCCCCAGGATGACCAACTTCTACTTTTATGCCACGTGGGCCGTCGTCAGAAGGGCATCGTTGCCCTCCAAACCCTTGTTGTACTGCCCCTCCTGGGCAAGGCTGTTACAAGTCACAGCCCAGGCCTGGTGTGGCCATCAGTGGGGCACGGTTCGTCTCCGAGCCTTTGCTCTGTCGCCCCTCTTAGGTGTGGCTGCAGGAGGTGACGTCAGAACACATGGGTGAATTTCCCCCTAGTTGCGAAAAGCAGAAGCCACTAAACCGACCTCTTTCTAGTTCCAGAATCACTCGCTAGGAGGATGCCATCCACGTGACAGTGTCAGTCGGGTAAGTCTTCTTGTGTTTTAGATGTCTCTTGGGTGGATCTGCTGCTCAGGCACTGAATCCACGCTCAGCATGGCCAAGGCTCCCAGGAGCTGGAAGGTTGGCCAGCTGCTGCCAAGACCAAGTTCGGACCACCCCGTTGATCTAGGTGAGGCCCAGCCCTGCTGCCGAAGGTTAGGGCTATACTGAGGAACAGTCAGAGTGTTCTGGCCAATCCGAGATGGAAATTCCTCTCGAGTGCCTGAGTGGCCGGGTTGGATAGTCAAGTACCGCCCACAGACATGCAGAGTCTGCATCTTGGATGAGGAGTGAGCCTGTGTCTCCGGCCCATTTCCATCCAGCCTGCCCACCTGGAGCATCCACCTTTTGGTGGGGCAGGGTTTTCAACTTTTCGTTTGTAATTCAAATTCTAGAAGAAAATGTCATCATCTCTAACTACTGAAGCAATGGAAGTTAAGACTTAACTGACAACAGTGAATGTTTGGATACGTAAAAATCAAAAGCTTGCACAGCAAAAATGTAATAAAACTGCTACAAAGAGCAAAGCAATAAAACTGGAAAAGAGATCATCACAATCGATACAGAAATAACTGCTGTATAAAGTCAATATATCCAAAGGTAACTTGGTAACTGGTCAAAGGAGATGAACGTACTCTGCATGCACGGAAACGGAAACAGTATTTTAAGTCATCACGTGAGAGAAAGAAGATGAGACTAGGAGTCAGGAGGCCTGGGTCCATCCTCAGTTTGGGTACTAATGAGTCACAGAACAACAGCAATAGCCACGGTGATGATGGCAGATGACTTCACTGAGTGTGAACCTCCACGCCAGGCACGGCATCGCAGTCGTTGCGATAACCTTAGGAGGTAGTCCTGTGATCATCCCCATTTTACAGAGGTGGAAACGGAGGATTGGAGAAGTACCATCTAGGCCCCATATGCGAGGCTATCGTTCCCGAAAGGAAGGCGTCACCTTACACACTAGTCTTCAGCTAGTTTTGGATATGCCTGGGAGTCACCAGATTGAATTGGTTTAAGAAAAAAGGACACAAAAGAAATTTAACTCAGATTTAGTACTTCTTCTTAAGAGTATGACCTCACAATGACAAGTCTTCGATGCTTTAAAAAAGCCTTTTAAAGGTCATTAAAAAAAAGGAAAACCTTAAGTGGTTGCATTGTACAGCTACAGAATAAATTAAAAAACGACAGCAATCATTCTAATGTTACATGAACCTGTACTTATGGCTTGGGAGGCGGTTTCTAGTGAGACCCTTGTGCAGGGATTGTCACAGTGCTATGTGGCACATAGCTCGGATGGATGGAAGTCATTGGATGTGTGCTTTGAAAATGATGACTCCAAAGGGCCTCTGAGGTTGGTGAAGACGGTGAGGTTAGAAATGCATACGAGGAATTAGGATAAAATGATCTCATGGAGTGGAGCTAGGGAGAAAAGGAATCTTTTCTAAATTAATATATTATTCTATATGATATGTGATTTACAATATGTATGTAGAACTAAATTAATAAATTAAATATTATAAGACATTTGATTATTCTATTTACAACCCTAGAAATTTACAAATTCAAGTAGGCCAAAAAAGTTTGGGGCGATCGATCTCAGTTTCCTTGAAGGGGGAGCTTGCAGGAGAGGACCAAGCATCCTGAGCTCCACCCCCACGTCCGCGGTTCTCTTCTCTCGTTCTCCAATTCAAGGCCTGTGCATTTAAATACCTCGAAGGTACTCGATTCCAGCTGAACCAGCCAAAACTCAATCAAAATGGTAGAAGCTACTCTCGATAGGCAAGATGGGAAACACAAACACTTATAAATTGCTGGTGGCAGTATAAATTGGTTTCAACCTTTCTGAAGAGAAAATATATAAGCGCTACAAAACTGTTCATCTCCTTTGACTCTGCCCTCCCCCTCTAGGGCCCCGGGCCCCGAGGGAATCCGCTGCCGGCCACGGGGCCGCGGGCCTTCCCTACTCGCGGTGGGTCGGTTGATGCTTCTGCAGCGCTGACCGCCGCTTGAACACGCGGCCACACTCGCTGCCCTCGCAGCGTCTTGCTCCGCTGTGGGTCCTCCGATGGCGACTCAGGCCGGAGCTCCGGCGGAAGGCCTTCCCGCATTTGTCGCACTCGTAGGGTTTCAGTCCGCTGTGGATGCGCCGGTGTTTGATCAGGTCGGAGGGCCCCCGGAAGGCCTTGCCGCAGTCGCCACACGCGTAGGGCCGCTCCCCGGTGTGGATGCGCTGGTGCTCCAGGAGGCTGGAGCTCTGCCGGAAGGCCTTCCCGCACTGGCTGCACTCGTACGGCTTCTCGCCCGTGTGGATCCGCCGATGCTTCGTGAGCTCTGAGCTCCGCCGGAAGAGCTTGCCGCAGTGCGGGCAGCCGTAGGGCTTGGCCCCGCTGTGGATGCGCTGGTGCTCGGCCAGGCCGTTGACCCCTCGGAAGGACTTGCCGCAGTCGTCGCAGTCGAAGGGCAGGTGGCCGGTGTGCATCCGCTGGTGCTTGAGAAACTCCTGGCGATCCAGGAAATCCCTGCTACACGTCTTGCAGGCAAAGGGTTTCTCCGAAGTGTGCTGCTTCTGATGGCGAAAGAGGTGGGTGTTGACTTTGAAGGAGCGGCCGCATTCCTCGCAGTCAAAGGGCTTCTCGCGGCTGTGGACGCGCAGGTGCTGACTGAGGCCCGCGTTCTTCTTGAACCTTTTCCCACATTCTTCACACTCGAAGGGCTTCGCCTCCCTCTCCATTTGCTCCCTCTTCTCCACGGCCTCGTCAAGGGCCCGGCTGGGGCCCGGCCGTGGCTCTGCCGCCACGTGGCTCTTCCGGTGCTCGTTGAACTCAGACACCCCGCGAAAAGCCTGCCCGCAATCGCCGCACGCCCAGCCCTTTTCCTCACTGTGAATTCGCTGGTGCTGCACGAGGAGGACCTTAAGCCGAAAGGCATCCCCACACTCTTTACATGCAAAATGATGTTCTACAGGTAGATTCTGGGGGCTCCCTCCCCTCCCCTCAGAGTCCCCGTTCTGTTTGACCTCAGGGCTGTGCTCGCTGGCCGTCGGGGAGCTCGTGGACGCCATCTCCTGTGACCGGGCGACTTCACCCATCCTCGGCGGCTGGGTCACCCAGATGCTTTCTGAAATGAAAACCACAAGACACTGCACTCTGAGACAGCTGCCGAGCATCGGGCCTGGGGGCCACTGGGGCAGGATGGTGGCTCCCCACCCAGCTGGAAACAAGCGCGGGAGATGGAAGGGGCATAAGGGCCCGATTGCTGGATGCTCCCCGTCAAGGTGACTGAGGGGCAGGCACGCCACTCCCACCCCAAGGGCTCACCTGGGCCTCCCCAGTGATGCCCTGACATTTCTTCAGGTTCCTTTTTTACTCACCTGAATGCTCAGCTCGGCCCACGCGAGGGGATGGGTCTGACTTGCACCAGGTGAGAGACCAAGTCAGGATTCAAAACAGGAACTCCTGCTTGCGGAAAAGGAAACAAGCTATGGCAGCATCCAGAGATGACATCAGGATCGAGTAGGAATGGCTCAGGGCCTTTGAAGGGGAGAGCCTTTCAATCCCCAAAGGCTGGGTTGGCTGTTCCCTTAGGCAAGTCATTCCTCCATTTAAAACGCCTTTCCCAACAGTCGGCTCCTTCCAGGGGCTGTGGATGAAGCAAGCTCTGGGCCCATCTGGGTACCAGTTTGTCTTCCTGAGGAGCTGGTCCTCCCTTTCCCCCATCCGCCCTCCTCAAGGTCTGCACATTGAACTTGGGGTTCTTCCACAACTGTCAAAGCTGACCCCTGGCAGTCTCTCCTCCGAAGAAGCCTCCCCACCTCACCACGTGCAGCCCCTGATGGTGCAAAGGAGCTTGCTACGTCAACCTCTCTCAACGGTAAACTACGGTAAAGTTGCCATGAAATTTATATAACTTGTGGGTTAAAAAAGTATTTAATTAGGTGGCATAGGAAGGGTGGGAGGGAGGGAGATGCAAGAGGGAAGAGATATGGGAACATACGTATATGCATAGCTGATTCACTTTGTTATAAAGCAGAAACTAACACACCATTGTGAAGCAATTATACTCCAATAAAGATGGTAAAAAAAGTATTTAATGATAGCGGCTAGTTTGTTCTAATTTCTTTCCCAATGAAAGGCTGAGGGGGCTTCTTTCCATGCCATTAGGAGTTGGGAGGGACACCTGCTACTTTGAGATGTCGGGTGTAGCAGACCCTCTGTATTTCCTCACAGCCCATTCCCAGGGAGCATAAGCCCCTGGAAGGTGAGCTTGTGTAATGCTATGCCAGGTGCCCCTTATCCTACTCCCAGCTTCGTAGGACCATGAAGCTGGTGGCAAAGCTTGTGGAAGGGCTGGGGGCATCCTTACCCACAGAGGTCACATTCCTTCAATATGCCAGTGTCCTCTGCTCAGGATCTAGCCTCAGCCACTCCCTTTGAGGAGGTACTGTGCCACGTCACCAAATGTCACCGGATCCTGAAAGAATTCCCAGGGATAATCTGTCCTTCCATCCACTCTAGAATGAGGCAAGGGCAGTGCCACTAACCCCAGGGATGAGAGGTGAGAGTCCGAACTGAGCGTGCATTGCTAACATGGAAATATAACTACAGGCCTCAAGAAGTGCTAGAAAGAGAACCTGACCACGTACCAAGAGACCTGGGCCGTGGCCCTGGCTCCCACTGTCCTCCCAAGGGACTTCAGTTCAATCACTTTCCTGGATTGAAACGCAGCTCCCCCATCAGTACGATGGGAATTACAAGCCCAGCAGGCAACCATTCCTTGGCAGACTCCGGGGAGAGAAGCAGAGAGAGGGAGGGAAGGCAGCAGCTGGGGTTCAGGCCCTGCTGTGTGTCATGCTAGGGCAAGAGGCAGAGTCCAAGGCCAGAATCAGGGAGCAGTGACAGATTCCCAAGCCAGGCTGAAGGAAGCACGGCTCACCTGGGCCTCCAGCACCCCAAGGGGGCCTGCCAGGACTTGCTTTCCCAGGAAGCCATCTTGTGGAAGGGCAAGACCCTGTGGGGCAGGCAGAGCTAAGGAAAGTGCAAAGGGCCGCGAGTGACAGCGGCCCTGCCTCTGGGTCCCGTGGGATGGGACCGGTGATTTCCTTTGCCCCTGTTTTAAATTTTCTTGAGTCTTCTCTTGCACAGAGGCTGAATGACAAGCCAGAGCACGGATATACCTAACAAAATGCATCCCAAACAGTGGGGAAAGTAGGCTGGCAGAGAACTGATACAGGCAGGCCAGAGGGAACCCACACAAGACAAATGAATGTTAGCCCAGGCACAGGCAGGAGAAGACAGACTCAGACCAAGAGCCAGTGGCAGGGAGACTGGCTCTCAGAGACAGGTCGGCCACAGGCCTCCTAGCAGTAGGCCTTGTAGAGTTCAATGCTCACACTGCACAGGAAGGAAGCATCCCCAAAAGAACATCAGAAGAAATAACTAGGAAGTGAGAGATCCTTCTCAACTTTGTAGGGGCAACAAAAAACCAGACTGGGCTACTGGAGGGAAGAGACATAACAGAGCAGGAGTCAGGGCTTCCTGACTAGCAGTAAGGTCCTCTAAAGGCCACACTCCACCCCACCGAAACAGTTCACCAGGTGACAGCTTGCAGACAAGAATGTTTCTGTGATATATTTGACAAAATGAAAAGTTGAACAAAATACCTGGAAAAAGACACCTCCAAAAAAAACAAAAGATCTTCAAAGACAAAGTTGCTAAATAAAGGATCTGAACCACATGTGTAAGTTGCCTTTGTCGTTTGGATCCCACCACAGGTGTACATGCATCGCAGGCCTCCCACTTCAGTGAGTTCACAGAAACAGGAACACAGTTTCTATTCTGATGTCAGGTCAATTCGGTTCACAGTTATATGAAAAGGAAGCATTTTTACACTAGCTCAAAGAGTACAGAACCCAGATACTCCAGAAATACTTTTACATAAAATTAGATGTTATATTAAAAGGGTTGGACAGAGACTTCCATTTCTGGCCATGATGGAGTAACAAGGAACAGATTTAATGTCAGGCCATAAATAAGTAGAAAACTGGACAGAATAGATGTGAAACAACAGTGTTTAGATATTGGACAGCAGGCAGCACAGGACCATGATCCTTGAGAGAAGAGAAACAGATGAGGTGAGCTTTATCAGTGGCCCAGACCTCTTCCTGGAGGCAATTTCCAGATTGAGAGTATAGGGAAGGGGACCCTAGGCAGAGCTTCGTGGCTTTATTATCAACACAGACCAGCGTTCAGGGAAGCTGAGGCAGAACAGAGTTCCAGAAAGGAGGGAGCTATACAGAAAAAAAGAGCTCCAAAAAATCTGTACAAGGCTCCCCTTTAGTCTTTCTTAACTACTAAGCCATGCATGCATAGAGGAAACTCCCGAAGACTAGGAAAAGAATGACCAGGAAGCTGTAAGTTCAACAATTCCTAGGGCACACAAAGGTAGGGAGATGTTCAGGGTCTAACCAACCAGAGCAGGGACTCCTCAGTGATCACGTGGGGTAGTCAGTAGAGAATCAGAGGGGCCATACCTTAGTAGTAGGACTGATCTGTTCCCTGGAGCCACAGCTACCCTGGATCTGCTCTAGAAAAACTTGAAAGTAGGCCTTGAAGGGATGAAACTATTCCACAAACAACTACCTCCCAAAACAAAGTCCAACAATTTTCACAGTGAAACAACAAAATCCAGACACTCAACAACATAATCTCTACAATGTTCAACATCCAATAAAAAATTAAGTAAATGTCAAGAAGCAGGAAAATGTGACTCATGGAAAGGAAAATAATGTCAATAGAAACACTCAGAAATGATCACTGATGGAACTCACAGGCAAGGATAACAGCTAGTTTAACAATGTGTAAGTATTTAAAGAAAAACAGGAACACAATGAAAGAAATGGATGATATAAACAAGAACCAAATGGAACTTACTGAGGTAAAAACTGTAATATTTAAAATGAAAATTTCATTGGATGTGCTTAACAGCAGATTAGACACAGCCCTCTCCTCCCTAAAAAATTAGAAAATTTGAAGACACAGCAATGGCAATTATCCCAAATTTAGATCAGAAAGAAAAACATATTTAAAAAACAGAGTCTCAGTGACTTGAGGATAACAGGAAGTGGTCTAATGCATATGTAACTGGAATCTGAGAAGATGAGGAAAAGGAGGAGGGGGATAAAAGTATTATTGAAGAAATAATGATTAAAATGTATTGTTTTCTAAATTTGATGAAACCTAGATCCAAGAAGCCCAATTACCCCCTAGCAAGTCTAAACAAACAAACAAAAAACAAAACGAAAAAAAACCCCAACAACCCCACACATGTACACTAAGACACATCATAATCATTGCTGAAAACTAGTGATAAAGAGAAAATCTTAAAGCAGCCAGAGGGAAAAAAAGATGTTGTATACAGAGGAGCAAAGATAAGAATAGCTGCTAACTTCTTATGAGAAAATGTGCAAGCCAGAAAACAACTGAATGACATTTTTAAAGTGCTAAAGGAAAAAAAAAACATGTCAACCGAGACTTCTATATTCAGGGAAGTATCCTTCAAAAATAAAGGCAAAATAAAAACTTTTTTAGACAGAGAAAAGCTGAAAGAATCTGTTACCAGCAGACCTGTACTACAAGATATATTAAAGAAAGTTCTTCAGGTGAAGGGAAATGATACCAGATGGAAACTTGGATCACAAAGGAATGAAGAACATCAAGAATGTAAATATGTGCAGAAATATAAACACTTTTACCTCCTCTCATTTTTAAATCTTTAAGAGATAACTGAACATTTAAAGCAAAAATAATAAGGTAGTGCAGGGTTTATAACATATGTAGAAATAAAATGTACAACTGTGTGCTTTACAAAGCCCTCCAAGACTCTGATGCATGCCAGTAGTGGAGATAAAATACAGTTCTAAAAAATAATCCAAAAGAAGAAAGGTAAAAAACACAAAGGAAAAAGAACATATGGGGCAAATGGAAATAAATACCAAGAGGCAAATTTAAACACAACCATATGGATAGTTAAATTAAATATAAATGGACTAAACACACCAGTTAATAGGCAGAGATCATCAGATTGTATTTTTTTTTAAAAAAATGAGACTCAACTATATGCTGTCAACAAGAAACTTTAAATATAAAGAGTTTAAATGTAAAGACAGAGATAGGTTAAAAGTAAAAGGATGGAAAACAATATACTATAACCAACAGGAAGAGTCTCAATAACCCCAACGTCATAAAAACACGAGGGAGACCTTTCTGAAGAATCCTACAACTCAGAGCAGGAAGAAAACTGGAAAGCTTAAGTATAAAATCAATTGGTGGTAAGAGACAAGAAAAAAACCAGAAAACATTTAAAAAGTAAATGAAAATGAAAAAAAAATCAACAGGTGGCCAATGCAGAATGACACATAGCAGATTACAAAAATTTGAATCCTCCTTCAAAGAAGATTATAGACAGACAGTAACTGTTTATTAAAAAAATCCAAAGAGGGTAGGAGAAGGGAAGAGAATGGTATATATTTATGCTTTAGGAGAAAAAAGGAATAAACTGAGAGTGACTCACAGTGAATGAGCACATCGAGACTGCAGTGTGCACCACCCTGGGGTAGAGTCCAGGTCTAGAAAGGTCTTCTGCTTTCTGTTTCTGTAATGAATTGTTAGTAACCAAACTGCATTTCTTTGATAATCAGAAAGGAACAACAATTTAAAAAGATTTCAGTTGACTCTGGATAAGAAAGACGCTCAGCATGTGAGAGGACAGGGCTAATGCCAAGGAGGCAACAGGGAACTGCCCCTGAAGCTGGGCAACATCCCGAGGTGCCCACACAGGTAAGGCAGGCACAGAGGACCGGGGCTGGCGGGAATATGTGGGCAGTCCTAGAAAGCTTAGAGGCAGGTCCATGAGGTTGTCACTTCCTGGGATCATCCCCCCAAGCTATCAGAACCATGACAGGTGTGAGCAGAAGGCCTTCTTTGGCCCCAGTGTCCACGGAAACTCTATTTCCATCTTTAAGTAGCTGGCAGCACAGGTGCTCCCCAGTGTGTGAGGGAAGCGCCAGGTGCCCAGCAGCCAAGCCCTCTGTATCCCACTGTCACCTAGGCAGGGCACCCTCGGAGCAGTTGGATTCTTCCTGTTATACATTTGATGTCTGGTTTGACTTTGGCTTCCAATACAAAATGAAATGGTCATAGATTACGTATACAATTCATTCTAAAAAATTCACTTCCAATTGACATTGAGGTTTTGTTGCCGAGTAGAATGGAGAGGAGAGCATCTCACCTTCACCTCCTGAGGAAGATGGTCTGTTACAAGCCTCATCTCACCACCCTCCGGCCAGAGACCTAAGGCCTTAACCCCCTCCAAGTCCCTGGCTGAGCCCACCAGACCCATATCCTGCACCCCATGTCTCAATCATTCCTTCCAGACCCTCGGCCTTCATCCAGTCAGAGACATGCCCAGGCAATATCCCTGAGGGCCTCTGAACCTGCCTCAGGTGGCTCCTGCGAAGAATTCGGGCCTCATTCAAGTGTCACCTCCTCCAAATGACTTCACTCTCCAGCCGCATCACGGTTTACTTATAACACTTTTCACTACCTAAAACGTATCCTCCGAAATTGCTTGTTTTTACCTGATTCTCCCCGGGGGAAACGTCACCTGTGACAGGACAGGGCGCTTCTCTTTCTTGGTCACCCCCGAACCCCCAGCAACTGCAGCAGCTCCTAACACTCAGCGGGCGTGTGAGGACCTGGGGGGGGAGGGGGGTGTCAAATGCATCAGACTTCCATTAACGGAGCACCTACTGCGCGTTTGGCGCTGTGCTTCTCCCTTCACATAATGTAACCATCGCCACCTATAGTCATTCCCGCCTCCATCTGACAGAGAAGGAAGACACGGATCTGAGAGGTGAACTAACTTGCCTGAGGTCTAGCTCCCAAGATTTGAGACATTTCAAACCACACCAGAAAAGAGAGAAGTAATATGCCACCAGGTAATATCTAACACCAGGCCTTATCCAAAGGCCAGGCGGCCACTGAGTGTCCTTGAAGCCTAATGGTGCGTATGGGTTTAGGGGACTGGCTTTAAATCCTCCCATGAACATGCCATCACAGACCCTCCCTGCGCAATAGATACACATGTCATTCTCTCTCTCGCTCACAGTTTTTCCAAGCCACCCATGTTTAATTGAGCAGGTCCTCCCAAAGTGTTCCCATTTAATTGAGCGGATCCCACCAAAGTGTTTTCACTTAATTGGCATGATTAACTGTCGAAGTCCTGGAGCCTCAACCCCCAAGTGAATTGTTAATTATCCTTTAATTCCTGTGTAGCAACAGGACTGGCCCTTCCTGTACCAGGCTTGCCCAGGGGACTTAACCCAAGTGCACTTCAGATCACTACCCACAGTGACAGAACCCATGGACACACAGAGAACATTTCGAAGGTGCTCATAAAAACGGGAGGGAAAAAGTGAGCCCTGCTTTCACAAAAGGAAGCTAAACTCTGCACAATGAACAAGGTATATCGGGTAAAAGCTTTATGAGACGCAAAGGAAGATCATTAAAAAAGATAATACGCATTAATCCCACTGCAGTTAAAAGTAAAATCATCATCAATCCTGAAAACAATCTGATAATTCAGAAGCCGGATTGCCCAACTGCTCCACTTTAAAATGGTGGGACTAATCTGGAAAAGAAACTGCACTGTGACAAAAGTGACACATACAGCTGTCTACTGCCTTCCAAAAGTGGACCTTGGGAGATCAAGGTCAAAGCAATTCCAGGCACAATATGAAAACCACTGTAGTGCACCCGATGGATACAGAGGGTGATCCTGACCTTGAATGTGAGGCACTTTCACTCACCGTGGAAAAGCATGCCCCAAATCTTGTAAGTGCACTTCTTCACCCAACCGGTAGAAAGACTATGGGAAAACCAATCTCTGCCTCTTAATATAAATATTATCTTCCTTCTTTAAGTGGGATCTGAAGTATATAGTCTAACGACTATATGCTCCCAGAGAGTGAAGGCCCTATCAAAGTTGACTGCGGATTCCACTCTGGACCTAGCCAAGTGCCACAGACACTGCAGCTGCTTCACAGACACATTTCTGAAAAATCATGCTTCCTAAAACATGAGAGTTCACGTGAGTGAACAAATGTTCCTGAAATGTGCTTTAGATGGCAATGTAAATTTTAACCAACTTATTTAAATCCAATTTTCCATATTGAATCAGAAACATTGAGAACCAAACCAATCATTTCACTTTGACTTGAAAGAACAGAAGTTAACAGCTGAACCCAGTGGAGACAAAAGCCAACAGTTGTCACAAAAAAATAGTGAATTAGGTGTATTCTGGTCACCTTTGAGCTCGGGACCCCTCCTTAGGATGTCTCGCTACTAGGAAAGTTCACTTCTGAGCCTAAAAGATCAGTGTTAGCCTAATTCCATGGCACAAGTAGCCAAGCAACCTCCTCAGCAGGTGCCATCCTTCCCTGGGCAGCGGGGGCAGGGGAGAGGGAGCAAGGCCACCCAAACGAGATCAATCTGGCAGCTTCCAGAAACTTCAAAGGGGTGCCAGAAACACCTGGACTCCCTGGAGCATCTAGATAAGGACCTGAAACAGAATGTCCTCAGGCCCCAGAAGACAACAGGTGTCTCATGGTGTTCATTTCAGTTCTGGGCCAGAGCAAAAATGCCCTGGAGGGAATCTTTATAGGTCACACGAGAGACTGCACTCTCGATCATCTAATTCAGATGGGTGCCTTCAGCTCCCTCTCCCACCCCTAACCCTAACCCTAAATCATCCTATTAATTACCTAGATTCAAAATTCTCCTTACTGGATATCTGTTCTCTCTTGAGTTGTGTTGTTTAGATCGAGAGAACTATCTCTGGGCAAAGATGGTTCAACGACACTGGCATATATAAAAATATAAGTGCTTCCAGAATCGAAAACAATACTTCTCACCATCTTGCGTCCCCGTGGGGTCTTCTAACAGCATGGCCAGCTTTAAGGCCAGCAGACATGGTCTATAAACATCCAGACTTGCCCCAAAGAGAGATGCAGGGATGGCATCATGTCTCAGAACAATTCTGAGCGATTAGTCAGGCAGGTAAGATCCCACCTGTTGGACTGAAATAATTTGGGGGGGACAGAAGCAGACTTGGGTACTCCTTCCGGGAACATGTCTTTTTGGGTCATGAGTGCTCAACCAAAGGACAGGCTGTGAGACTGAACACACTGCTGAGCCCCCAATCCACCTGAGTCAGGCAAGCCTGGGATCCTAAGCCGAGCCCCTGGGCTGGAGCTGGGCTTAGCCTTCAGCAGCTCTCAACCCGTCCCGCCAGGATGTGGCTGCAAAGGCCCCATTTGGGCCCACCCTGTACTGTGCAAATGCACTGCTACTAGAAGTGAATCCTAAAGGGCCAAAAGAGACTGTGTTTCACCAGGAAAGTCTGTTTCTCTTGGGATGTTTGTGTCTGTGTGTGCCTTTTTCTGTGTGCGTGGGTGGGAGGCATCTGTCTCCGTCTTCCCCGTTTTCCTGTCTCTCTGCCTGGGCACCTGTCTCTCTCTGTTTAGGTTTCCATTTTCTTTGCCTTCTATAAAAAGCCAGAAGGTAGACCAGAAGGGGATTTTGTAGTGTCTGTTGTACTTAATTGAGGGAAGGTTTATGTTCCCATTTCCCCAAGAAGACGCATGCTCTCTTACTGAAAATCAAAATAAATTTTAAGTATAGCTTCGTTTAAGTCACACTGCCCAGGATATGAACGATTCTAAATGGGGGTGGGGGAATGCTGTGCAAATCCCAAGGGGCCCTGGGCAGTTGGGGAGCCCAGGCAGGTCAGGGCCAGGGTTGGATGGGTGGGTTAGAACCCTGGCCTGGGGTTTCCTAAGAACTCAAGGGACAGAGTAGCTGGTGTAGGTGGGGATGAGAAATCTGCATTTTCAACCAGCACTCAGGAAACTGGGATGCTGATCTGTGCCTGGTTAGCACTGGGCCCGTCTAGAATCTGGAGGTTTCCTCACCTCCAGGGCTCATCAGACAGGACTCTGGCCCATGAGCCTCCTGAATGGGATCCCACTCTCTGTGCTGACTGTCAGATTTCTGGGAAGAGAATTCACAGTTTCTAGTGATTTTCTAAGGGGTCTCCTCACCCAAAGAAGGCTGAAAATCACTGTTCGATAGGATTCTAAATGTAGATCCTAAGACATTTGGGGGGAATGGATTGGACTGTGTCAGGCACTGTGCAAGCTGCTTCTACTTAAAGGCCCAGGGCAGGAGGGAGGATGGGGGATGGGGTGAGGCAGCATTAGTACCCAGAGGGGGTGCTGTTCTAGCAATCCCATCTGAAATCCTTTGGTAAAAGAAAAATGTCGGGTCTGAGGTTGAAGAGGAAATATTTCACTGACCAAGGAGACTGAAGGGGGCTGGTGGCCCCCAGCTGGGCCAACGTTGGCTGGAGGGTGTCAGTTGGAACAGGGTGGGACCTCCGGGAAGAGGGCCAGGATTCTGGCGGGGTTGGTGTTTGAAAGGGACCATGGGCTTCGGGCAGCAGGCGGCTGTGTGGGGGGAGGATGGAAAAAGACATGTAATTAATCACCCAAATATAGACTAGAGGAGGCAGCAAAGGAGTTTAAGGCGGGGGGCACTGGAGCGGGTGATGGTGGCCCCAGAAGGGCGACAGAAAAAGCACTGTTCAGATCGAGGGCCTTGAGCTCGTTTTCACCCAGCAAGGGCTGCCCCTCCCCCTCCTTCACAGCATTTGGGCTCTAGGCTGCCCCCCCATCCTCCCCGACAAGCTGACGCTCGACCCCCACCCAAAAGGAAAGGAGAGACTCCTCCAGCAGGAAGTACCCAGTACACCTACCCCGCGTCTCCGACTGCTGTTCAGCCCCTCCCCCAGACTGGGGAAAAGCCCTTTAACATCCCCCAACGCCCCCTCCCACTTGGCCTCCTCTGCACTTGGGGTGGGGGCCCCCTCTTCCCATAGCGACCGGTTCCCATCCCTTAGCGTCACCCCAAAAGCAGCGTAGGCCTCAGCACGTCCAGCGATTCCCGCCCCTAACCGTCGCCCCCTGTCCGCCGCGGGAAGGCCTTCGGCCTCTTCGTACCCGCCATCCCGGACCCATCTCCCGCTCCACCTGGCCCCAGGGCCGAGCAGCTTCCCGCGGGAACAGAGACGCCCCCCAACAAAGCTTGGCCGACCCCTGCCCCCCCACCGCACACTTTCTGGAACACTCACCCCAGTCCTGCACACTCTCCTGGGCCGTCCCCTGCACATCCTCCCGAGGCCCAAACGATCACCCGGGACCCGCACATTCATCCGCGACTCCCAGCACATCCTCTGGCGGCCCGCGCGCTCATCCCGGCCCCGCACACCCTCCCGGGCTCCGCACACCCTCCCGGGCTCCGCGCACATCCTCTTGTGGCCCGCACGCTCACCTCGGCCCAGCGGCTGCCAACGCGCGGTCCTCGGCGGAGCGGCGCTGGCGCGGCCCAGGCCCGGCGTGGCAGGAAGCGCCACGGAGCCGCCAGCACCCGGCTGAGCCCAGCAGCCCCACGGCGCGTTTCCGGAGCCGCGGGCGCCGCCGTGGGTAGTGGGAGAGCGAGGCCCCACCCTGGCTCCGGCCCCGCCCGGCCCGCCGGTCTCGATTGGCCCAGAGAGGGGGCGGGGGCTGGAAGGGGGCGCGGCCGAGCCCGGGGTGGGTGGGTCAGGCCAGACCCCAGGGGAGCTGCGCGGTGGGGCCAGGTGCTCGGGTGGAGGCGGGAGGAGTAAAATGAATGTACTAATGAATGAATGAATGAACTAGCGAATGAACCAACAAGCCCACGAAGGAGGGAACGAAGGAATAGAGAGGACCCCTCCCCCTTGGGCGCCTTTAGGACGGGAATATGGGTGGGGGGATGAGAACGGAGGGCGACGCAGAGCAAAGCCAGCCCCCACTGGAGGGGTCAAAGCGCCTCGCTCAGTCACGGAAGGTGTGAGCTCTCGCCGTGCCAGGCACTGAGAATACAGCTGTGAGCAAAACCAGGCTGCATCCCTGCCCTCAGGGGGCGCGCATTTGGCGCCCAAGAGCTCCTGTGAGTATGTGTTTGTGTGTGGGTGTGTGTGTGCGCGCGCGCCCGCGTGCTCGGGTAAAGGTGGAGGGGAAAGTCACTTGAGTTAATTTCAAAATGGCAGGTCATACTAAGAAGAGAAAAGAACAGGATTCTTGGATAGGGGGTGCTGCAAGTAGTGACAGCCACTTCCAGAGGAATTTCTGCCAGTCAACAAAGATCTAGGAAGCTGCTGCACCCTGCAGTGTGCTAAGCCCATCGATGCTTTCTTGAAGATTCCTGTTTCGTAAGGAATACAATAATAAACAAGGGTCAACAAACAACACACAAGAATGACAAGAACTGTGAAGAACATCAATTAGGGGGGTGTTTGGGAGTGATGGGTGGGTAATTTCAGTGAGATTATGGTTGATATGAGACTTGGATGACAAGAAGGACTGAGCCGTGTGAAGGTTGTTGATAGGAAGAGCATCCACAGGTAAAAGGAATAGCATGTGCAAATTCCCTGTGGTAGGAACCAACTGGGCATATTCTAGGATCAAAAGGAAAATGCTGGAAAGCAGTAAGCCAAGGGAAAAGGAGCCACACTAGCTGGGCACTGAAATTAAGTCTGAAGGACACGGTCTAACTTTTTTGTTCATTTTTTATTAATATGCATTTATCGTTTTATTAGTGATAATGGTTATAACCAACTTCTTAAATATTCTTGTAACAATTTTATCTGTTAGATGCTACCAACTTTTTTTCTTATTTACCTTCCACATTTTATTATGAAAACTTTGCAACATACAGATCAATTGAAAGATTTGTACGCATATACCCATCACCAATATTCTACAATTAGCATTATGCTACACTTGCTTGATTGCATGGTCATCCTTATTTAACTGATCCATTTCAAAGTATCAGTAAGTTGCAGACATACAAGCACACTTCACCCCTTAACACTTCAGCACGCATAGCATTACCTAGAGATCAATACCTGTTTACTGGGGTGGTTTTTTTGTTGTTTTTGGAGGTAAAATTTACATACAGTGAAATGTGCAAGTCTTAAGTGCCCCATGCAGTGACTTTTGACAAATGCATACACCAAGCTCTTGTCAGGATACTGAACATTATCAACACCCCAGAAATCTCCTTTGTGCCCATTCCCAGTCAGCTCCCACCACAATTCCACACAGAGGCAACCGCTGTTCTAAATTTTTTCCATCTTAGATTACTTTCGCCTATTTGAGAACTTCATATGGATGGAATCATATGGTATGTACTATTTTGTGTCTGGTTTCTTTCATTCAGTATGACGATTTTGAGATTTATCTATGTTGTTTAATGTGTTGCTTCTTTCCTTTAATAACTGAATAGTATTCCATTATCTGGATATATTCCAGTTGGTTTTTATTCATTCACCAGTTTATGATCTGGTCTCTTTTCATTTTGGAGTATTATAAATAAAGCTACTGTGAACATTCGTGTACAAGTTTGTGTAGACATATGCTTTCATTTAGTTGGGTAACTACCTAGAAAGGGAATTGCCACATCATAGTAGAGTTGTTTTATAAGAAACTGCCAGAATATTCTCCGAAGTGGTTGTACAATTTATGTTCCCACAGATATGTATGAGAGTTCCTTTTCTTTCCAACCCTCCTCTGTATTTGGGGTTGTAAGCCTTTATTTTTAGCCATTTAAGTGGGTGCGAAGTGGTAACTCATTGTGATTTTAATTATCATCTCCCTGATGACTAATCATGTTGCGTGTGATGTTTTTATGTGTCTGTTCAAATAGCTTGCCCACATTTATGCTTTATTTGTCTTTTTATTATTTACTTGTAGGTGTATTTTTTTTAAAAAAAACAGCTCTTTTGAGGTATATTTGACAAACAATAACCTGGACATGTTTAAGCTGTACTATCTGATAAGGTTTGACATTATATATATATATGTTCATGAAACCATCACCACAATCAAGGCAATTAAAGATATCCATTACTCTCAAAGTTTCCTTGTGTCCTTTTCTCTTGTCTTTTCTTCTTCCTCTTGTCCTCAAGCAACCACTGATCTGCTTTCTCTCACTATAGGGTAGTTTGCATTTTCTAGAGTTTTATGTAAATGGAATCGTATAATAAGTGTACTTTTGTATCTGGCTCCTTTCACCCAACAAAATTATTTTGAGATTTATCCATATTGTTGTATGTATCAACAGTTCACTCCTTTCTATTGCTGAATAATATTCCATTGCATTAATGTACCATAATGGGTTTATTCATTCATTGGTTGATGGACATTTGGGTAGTTTCCAGTTTGGGGCAACTATAAATAAAGCTTCTATGAACATTTGTGTACAAACCTTTATATGGACATACATTTCCTTTTACCTTGGGTAAATACCAAGGAGCGGTATGGCTAGATAATATAGTAGAGGTATGTTTAACTTTCAAAAAAAACTACGATATCGTTTTCCAAAATGGTTGTACCATTTTACATTCCCACCAACAGTGTAGGAGAGCTCCAGTTGTTTCCTATCCTTGTCAATACTTGGTATAGCCAGTCTTAATTTTAGCCATGCTGATAGGTATGTAGTGTAATCTCATTATGATTTTAATCTGAACTTCCCTGACTAGTGATATTGATGTCAGCCGTCTGTTACTCTTCTTTGGTGAAGTGTCTACTTAAACCTTTTGCCCATTTTACAGTGTTATTATCAGGTTGTTTGTCTTCTTATTAAGTTGCAAACGCTCTTTATATATTCGGAATACAAGTCTTTTGTCAGGTATATGCTTTGCAAACATCTTATCCCGGTCTGTAGCTTGTCCTTTGAAGAGCACAAATTCTAAATTTTGATGAAGTTAAACTTATCAATCTGCTCTTTTATGGATTGTGATTTTGGTGTCATATCTAAGACATCTTTGTCTAACCCAAGGTCACAAAGATCTTGTTTTCTTTTAAAAGTTGTATGGTTCTAGGTTTTATATTTACTTAGGTTTCTGATCCATTTTGAGTCAATTTTTGTGTGTTTTGTGAGATATGGGTCAAAGTTCATTTTTGTGCATGTGGATATCCAATTATTTCATCATCATTTGTTGAAAAGACTATCTCTACTGTAATTTTTTGTCTATATCAAAGATCAGTTTTCCAGAAATTTGTGGATTCAGGGCTGTCTATACTGTTCTATTGATGTATTTTCTATCTTTATACCAATAACATGAACTTTTGATTAGTGTTTTGTAATAATCTTTGGAATCAGATAGTGTAAGTTCTATAACTTTGTTCTCAGTGTTGTTTTAACTAGTCTAGGTTTTTTTGCATTCCCAAAAATGGGATTTGGGGATTTTGATCGGTACTGGTTTAAATTCTGTAGATCAATTTGGAGAGAATTGACATCTTTTCACCAATGTTGAGTTCTTTGAGCCATAAACTAGGTCTCTCTCCATTTATTTTGGTCTATAGTTTCTCTCACCAATATTTGGTATTTTTCAATGCACTGTTCTTTCATATCTTTTGTCAGATTTGCTCCTAAGTACTGCACATTTTTGATGCTATTGTGAGTGGTATTGTTTTTAAAAATTTTAATTTCAGATTGATCATTGCTAGCATATAGGAATACAATTGATTTTTGTATATTGACCTTATATCCTGCAGCCTGCTAAACTCCCATATTAGTTCTAGCAACTTTTCTATAGATTCCATTGCATTTTCTAAATAGATAATCTTGTCATGTGTGAACAAAGACAGTTTACTTCTTCCTTTCCAGTCTGGATGCTGTTTACTTCTTTTCCTTGCCTAATTTCCCAGGCTTGAACCTCCAATACAATGTTGAATAGAAAGTGTAAGAGTGGGGCTTCCCTGTCTTCATTCTGATTTTAGGCGGAAAGCACTCAGTCTTTCACCGCTAAGGACGATGTTAGCTGTAGGTTTTTTATAGATGTCAGTTATCAGGTTGAGGAAGTTCCCTTCTATTCCTAGTTTACTGGGAGTTTATTTTATTTTATCATGACTGGATGTTGGATTCTGTCAAATGTTTTTTCTGCATCTATTGAGAATATTGCTGTAGTCAGAATGTATCCCCCCTGCCCCCCCAAAATCATATGCTGAAATCTTAACTCCCAAAGGTGATGGTATTAGGAGGTGGGGCCTTTGGGAAGTATTTAAGTCCCAATGGGATCAATGCCCTTATAAAACAGGCTCCAGAGATGCCTTGCTCCTTTGGCATGTGAGGACCTAGCAAGAAGTTGCTGGCTATTAACTAGGAAGCGAGCCCTCACCAGGGTACAACCATGTTGGCACCTTGATCTTGGACTTCCAGCCTCCAGAACTGTGAGAAATGAATTTCTGTTGTTTATAAGCCACACAGTGTGTGGTATTTTGTTATACCAGCCTGAATAGACTAAGAGATATGTCATATTGTTTTTATTTTTGTTAATATGCTGAGTTATGTTGATAAAATTTCAAATGTTTAAACTAAACTTGTATTCTCATTATAGACTACTTAGTCATAATATGTTATCATTTTTGTATCTTGTTGAACTCCATTTGCTAAAATTTTGTCTAGAATTTTTGCATGTATGTTCATGAAACACATCAGTCTGTAATTTTCTTTTATATGATGTCTTTGAATGGTTTTGATATAAAGCTAGTGCTGGCCTCATTGAATGAGTTGGAAGTATTCTTTCCTCCTCACGTCTATGGAAGAGTTTGTGTAGTATTGACATTATTTCTTCCTTAAATAATTTGTAGAATTTGATATTCCCGCTTGCATATTTGTTTACATGTGAGGGCAGGCTGCAGAGGATGTCATGCTGGGTGGCTAAAACTTCAGAGACCCAGAGGACACAGTTCAGGGTGACCACAGTGGAGGAAAAGTGAGAAGGAAAATCCTGGACAGGAAAGAACCAGAGGCACGGAACCCAAATTTGGCACATAAACTCTGCTCAAATCTCTGGTGACACTGGGATGTGTATGTACAGGGCAGACTCTAAGAAAATAACTGAGCAGAGATTTCAGATGACGTTCAACACAGGGGAGACAGAGTTTGGAGTCTGAGTTTAGCTAAGTTAACTGGCTACTAATGCAGCAGCAGCAACAATAACACCTCTTTGGAGAAATATAACAGAAAGCAAGAAGCCAGAGCCACTAGAACACATTATTGACAATGTCCAGGATATGATGCTTAATTACTAGACGAAACAGGAAAATGTGATGACACTCAAGAAAAAAAACATTCAAGGGAAACTGACCCTGATATCATAATTCACAGACAATATTTTTAAAGCAGCTATTATAAATATGCTTAAGGACATAAAGCATGCTCATAATTATGTTTTTACAGTGATATATGTGCTTCATTAACACATAATATAACAGTATCTAAAACTGATCTACCAACTGTAAAATTTTGAGGTAATGCTATTTTTAGTAAATATTTCTAGATATCTGCAGTAACTATAATGGGATATAGAAATACTTATTTTTGTTGGTGATGAAGTAACATGTACTGCTAATAGTACTGTGGTTTGCTGTCCACATTCATAATTGAAGGAAATGCTATATTTTAGTTGCTTGAGTAAAAATAAATATGAATTTTCCCCCATCCAAGTTTACAGATTCCTTGAGTTCTTAATGTCAGGTTTAGATCTTAAGGTCACAGACACTATTTTTCCCAGTAAAACCAAAAACCATGTCTGGCATATAATAGGTGCTCAAAAATATTTCTTAAATAAATGAATACATCTGTGTTCCAGTCTGGTGGTTAAGGGATTAAAATTTGTTCCCTAGTCTTTCACATCCATCTTAATAATGAACTGAGGGGCTCCCTGGTGGTGCAGTGGTTAAGAATCCACCTGCCAATGCAGGGGACACGGGTTCGAGCCCTGGTCAGGGAAGATCCCACATGCCGTGGAGCAACTAAGCCCGTGTGCCACAACTACTGAGCCTGTGCTCTAGAGCCCGTGCGCCACAACTACTGAAGCCCTCATGCCTAGAGCCCGTGCTCTGCAACAAGAGAAGCCACCACAATGAGAAGCCCGCACACCGCAATGAAGAGTAGCCCCCGCTTCCTGCAAAAGCCCGCGCGCAGCAACGAAGACCCAACGCAGCCAAAAATAAATAAATAAATTTATTTAAAAAAATAATGAACTGATAACAAAAGCTACTATTTGATGATTGTTTGCTATGTACCAGGCACTGTTTTATAAATACTATCTCATCCTATTCTTACAATGACCCTGAGGCACGTACTATTATTACTCCCATTCTCTTGTTACAGAAACTGAGGTGCTGATGCGGGCCCGGCTGAACGACACGCTCCGGACACGCTGAGGATGATGCGGCTGACGAGGAGGCCTCCCGGCTTTGCGGGGATGCTGCGGCTCATCCAGAAGACCGAGGCCTGGGAGGCCGGCCCGGCTAGCAGGGAGCACTTCCCAGGGCAGGAAGAGGCCCGTGTGGACGTTGGAGTCCTGGCAGCAGCCGCCCAGGCCGCCGCGGCCCATGAGGCCATCACCGCAGGTACCACTGCACATGGCACCAAGGCCTCCCCGGCCGGTGAAGATGCCACCGCCCAGGCCGCCCGTTCCAAGGAAGGGAGCGCCGAGGACCACCCGGCACGTGAGGAGGCCAGTGGGGCAGTTGCCGGCACTGCCAAGGCTGGTGAGGCGGGCCCTGAAGACCATGGTGCCGCCAGGGCAGCCCCTGAAGACCATGGTGCCGCCAGGGCAGCCCCTGGCCCTGGGGAGACCAGCAAGGCGTCCGCGGCCACTCAGGAAGATGGAAGTGCTGCCGCCCCTGCGGGCCTAGGTCAGGCAGTTCCCTCAGATGCCCCCAGAGTCCCCATGCCTGGCCTTATGGGCAGTGCTTCCCCGGTGGCCCCAGGAGGTCCTGGCTGGGAGCCAGAGGGCCTCGCCCAGGCAGGAGGCCAGGAGGCCGAGGAGAGCCCCGAGGAGGGGCTCAAGCCCATCCCAGAAGAGCCGGGAAATGAGGACGGGGCTGCAGAGATGAGCCCCCCGGGGTCCACCTCGGGCCAGTAGGCTCAGCAGGTCCCGGGGCCCCCAGGCTTGGAGGCAGGGGGAGGCCAGGCCTGGCAGCCTACTGGCCCCATATTAGGGGCTACTCAAGGTGCCTGGGCCTCCCTCCTGAGAGGGGACCCCTATTCATCATCCCCTGAGGCAGGTTGCTCCCTGTACTGGCAAGCCCAAATGTGTCCCTCTAGGCCCCAGAGGGACCCAGGTGTCAAGGAACCCCCCAGCCCCCGCTCCCCTCCCCCCAACACACACACCCTAGCCATCGCCCCCCCGCAGAGCCCTGAGGTGCGCCACGTGCCAGCCAAGGCTCTGGTCTCTGTGGGCCAGTGTCGTGAGCTCAACGTGTGCTTTCTGGGCATAGATTCAGGCCCAGCGCTGCCTGTTGTTGTGGAAATGTGCGTGTGTTGTCCTCTGAGCAGTTCCCCCAACCCCTGCGCGGCGTGGAGACCCCGAGCCCAGTCCCAGGAGCCGGCGGGAAGGACGGGATGGACGAGGTCACAGCCAGCGCCCACCCCAGGACCTGGGAGCCCACCTGCGACCTTCGGAAGGAAGACCTGGACCGGGACGGCAGGAGGTCTGCAGGAGACTTTCTGACACCAGCAGGTAACCCCTTTATCTTGGCATGGAAGGAGAATGATTTAACAGCCTCTCAATAGTACGTTCTAATTAAGTAAGGCATGTTCAGGTCTGTGTTCTCCTTCTCTGATATAGGAAATATCTGGACTTAAAGGTAATCTTTAATTTAAAATTTTGTCTGCTTTTAATATTTTTATTAAAACGTTATCGAAAAGCCTCTTCTTCTGTGTCCCGAATAAAGCAAAAGAAATCTATTCTGTCACCAGATGACCACAACTTCTGGTCCGAAAAGTGACTACAGGCTTCAGAGCCTTGGTACTCCAAGCGTAGTCAGGGGTCTGCAGGGATCTGCAGTCACCTAGCTTTCGAGAAACGCAGAATCTCAGTCCCACCCCGGTCCTCCTGAATCAGAACTTTCATTTTTACCAAGATCTACCAGATTTGCAGATTTCCAGTGCGATAACCTGAGCTCCCCCCACGCCGTTCTCTGGAACAGCGAGTCCCGCGGGCCACAGGGAAAATATTCCAGTCTTCCTTCTGTGGAAGAAATTTTCTTTGGAAAAGGGCGGGAAGCAGTTTGGGTACTAGGTGGGTAGTACTAGGTGGGTAGTACTAGGCTGTGAAGTCAAGGGAATAATGGGAGAATGTAATTCTTTGAAAGCTTTCGGTCTCTTGGTGAATACGAAAAATTTTCGTGCCCTTGCATTTTTACCGGAAGCAGCTGTATTTCTGCTGTCCTCCCCTAGAAAACAGACCAATTAAAAAAAAATCAGGGTTTCATTTAGTAAGCACCCACCGGGTTTTTACTTTTGCACCCGGCCCTACGCTGACCTCTTGGAATATTCAAACAGGGAGAGCGACTGGTGACTGTCACGCCACAGTTCCCGTTCAATGCGGACTAGACATGCTAAACAAGAGCCAAGATGGCTGCTGGGCCTGGCGTGGCACGTGGTGGGTCTGGCGGTCTCCTTCCAGGGACCAGCCTAGGAATTGCAGGGGACCCTATTCCACACCTAACCCCGCGCACAGTCCAAGGCTGGAGTCTGTCCAGCTCTGCAGTTTAAGGTGCCCCGGTTTAATTCGAACTCCGTCCGCCTAGTTGCGCACACTGGCGCAGGGCCGGGCGAGGACTTCCCCTTCCGAGGGGGGATGGTGGGCGCCACGCTGCTAGGGCGCAGCCGCGAGTGGGCCGTGTGCAGCTCTGCAGGGCGGGGAGCGGGGGGAGCGGGGGCGGGGGAGCGGGGAGCGGGGGAGCGGGGGCGGGGGGGCGGGGAGCGGGGGCGGGGGGCGGGGAGTTTGTAGCCCGACAGCCCCTTTCCACGGGCTGCCGGCCCAGTGTGCACCGCGCGAGCCGTGGTAACGGACACGTGGTGGTCGTGGTGCACAGGCGCTTCGGCCTGTAGGCATCTCCAGCAGGTACTGGTCGGGGCCCGGGGCACAGAGAGCCATCCAAAGCGCGTGGGGTTCCGCACAATGACCCTTGCCATCTCCCTTGGCGTCCCAGGGGTTGGTGGCTACAGGTTTCCCCTGAAAATGGGATCCCATTACATCAGGCATGGCACCGCATCCATTCCGTGCCACTTCCAGGCACCGCGACCAGCCTAGGAATTGCAGGGGAACCTATTCCACACCTAACCCTGCTCACAGCCATTGCGGTCAGGACTAGTGGCTCTGGGCCTTATCCTAGAGGGAAAGTGGCTTCAGCCCTTCCTCCCCTGGCCTCCACCAACTTCCACTGACCACGTGTATTCCTGCTCTGGAATGAGGGATGTTTGAGGTAGCGGGTGTGTGAGGGGTCGTGGGGACTTAGGGAGGTGGGCTTAGGTGTGGGTGGGGACAATGGGAATGAGGGCGGGAGGCTTGGGGACAGTAGTTGGACTTGAGTGAGGTCAGGGCTTGGGACAGGGATGATGCTTGGGAAGGGGTGGGACATGGCTTGAGTGGGGGCAGGGATTTGGCTTGGGTGGAGGCAGGGCTTTGTTAGGCATCGGACTTGAGTGGGGGATGGGACATGGGAAGGGGTGGGGCTCGGTGGGGGCAGGGATCGAACTTCCGTAAGCGTGGGGCTTGGCGTCAGGGGCTGGGCTTAGGTGGGGGTGGCGCTTGGGTGGGGGTGGGACTTGGAGGGGGGACAGGGATCAAACTTCCGTGAGGGGAGGCTTGGCGTCAGGGGTGGGGCTTAAGTCCTACGTCGTGCGTCAGTGGGGGCAAAGTTTGAGGGAGGGGGTGGATTTGAGGGCGGGGCAATAATCATACTGTAGGATCCCTCCCGTACTAGCACTGTATACCAGTTGAGAAGTTTCTTTTCTTTTTTTGAAGTTCTGAATTTTATTTTTTTTACAGCAGGTTCTTATTAGTCATCCATTTTATACACATCAGTGCATACATGTCCATCCCAATCGCCCAGTTCATCCCACCACCACCCCCCTCCCCCTGAGCAGTTTCCTGTATCCCTGTACCAGAGCGCCTCTGTAGGCTCAGAATTGGCACAGCCTGAGCAGGGGCGTGTGGGGTAGAACCATAGCAAAGTACCTCTGCCTTGCCTTGGGCAGATGCAGTGAAGCAGTACCACCTCCCCAGCACCAGGAACTGCCTCTGGGCCGAGCTAGAGGGCAGGCCTGGTGTTGAGTGTGGGTGGAATCCCCGCACCTGCACTGCCGGTGGGTCCCTAGTCAGCATGGTGAACAGCTGTGACGTAGACCTATGTCGGGAGAGGCTTCTGTAACTTCCTGGCAAAAAGCAGGAGGGGTGGGGTTGCCTGCCAGGGTTTACAGGGTCTACAGGGTAGGGTCACACCTAGGGTGAGGGTTGTCTGTTTCAGCAGTGTGGCACTGTAGACCCTTTTTGGGTCCCTTTTCTGTCCCTGATTCTAGCTTCCACACGGTTTGAAACGGTAGGCTACTGTTTTTCAGCACGTGATCCTTGCCGCCCACCCCCCATGTCCCCTCCCCTCCAGCGACAACAGGACACTTCTTTGGTTGGAGGCCAGTGGCATCCCCTGTTGCTCCTCAACCTTTACCACATAGCACCCCTCTGCAGTGGAGACCCGTGGTCCACGCCGTTCTCAGTACCCACGGCAACACTGCAGCTTGCCACACGTTCTCCACACCCACCAGTTTCATTGCCTTGTGCAGAGAGAGCTCCAGCCATCTTTCTCATTTGTCAGACATTCTCTGAGAAAGGGGGAACTGCACATCTCCGTCCTCCAGCCTTTGCCCCAGAGAAGTGGGTACCAGGTGCCCTGGGCCTGAACAGCCCTGAGCCAGGGAGTGGGACAGCCTGCTGTCCTCTCCCGTTTGGCGGGCTTTGTCAGGCCCCTCCTCCTGACGCTGACCTTTTCACCACAGGCACCTGCAGTACACACGGAGGAGTCCTTGGACTTTGAGGAGGAGTGCACGGCAAGCCGAGGTCAGCAGGGAGGGGAGCTTGGCCTAAAGACACCTCTCCAGCAAATGACTGGGGAAGCCCTGAAAAGCAGGGCCTGAATGTCTGTGACCGGAAGTGGGGGTAGTGCGTGGGCTTTTAGTCGGGGTGGGAGGGTGGGAGTTAATGATGCTCTCACCCCATTTGCATTATAGGCTGTGCAAACCCGGAACGATTCTGCCTCCATACTTGGCGTTGACTCAGAATTCCCTGAGTCCCGGTCAGACTCTGTGAGCTGACTACTGCCCCTAGTATTAGATCAGTCCATAGGTAGTGGGAGCAATGCCTGTGAATCTGTTGGAGGATTGGTGCAAGGGGATGGACCTGGACCCCAGGAAGGCCCTGCTGATCGTGGGCATCCCTGTGGAGTGTAGTGAAGAGGAAATTAAAGAGACCCTGAAGGCGGGCTTACAGCCCCTGTGTGCCTACAGTGTGCTGGGCAGAATGTTCAGAAGGGAAGACAGCTCTAAGGCAGTTCTCATTGGATTGGCCGACCAGGTCAATTATGCCACGGTGCCGAGTCAGATCCCAGGAAAGGGAGGTACCTGGGAAGTGGTGGTGAAACCCCGTAGCCCAGATGATGAACTTATCAACAGACTGAACCACTTCCTGAAAGCTGAGGGCCGGAGAATGGTAGATGTGGTCAAAACCCTGGGGTATAGCACTCGCCCTGAGGAGGTACAGCCAAAAGGCTTGGCCCAAGTCAGGCCACCAGACCTGCAGCCTCTGCAAGAAAGCATGTGGTACCGAAAACTGAAGGTGTTTTCGGGAAGCACTTCCCCAGGCCCGGGCGAAGAGAACTTTGAAGCCTGGCTAGAGCAGGTGACTGAGATGATGCAGATGTGGCAGGTGTCTGAGGTAGAGAAGCAGCGGCGTTTGCTGGAAAGCTTGCGCGGCCCCGCCCTGTCCATCATGCGGATGCTCCGGGCCAAGAGTGACTCCATGACCGTGGAACAGTGCCTGGACGCCCTGAAACAGATCTTCGGGAATAAAGAGGACTATAGAACCTCACATTTTAAGTTGCTCCAGACCTTGCAGAAGCCCGGAGAGAGAGTCTCTGCCTTCTTGCTACGGTTAGAGCCCGTGCTGCAGGACGCTGTGCGGCACAGCCCCTTGTCAGTGAGAAGAGCAGACATGATTCGCCTGAAACACACCTTAGCCCAGGCCCACGTGAGCACCGGCCTCCAGGGCAAGCTCAGGCTCCTGGATCAGCGAGGCTGTGCGCCCACCTTCCTGGAGTTGATGAAGCTCGTTCGAGACGAGGAGGAGTGGCAGACCGCCGTGGCAGTGACCAGGGAGAGGCAGAGGCAGGTAGGAGGGGGCCACAGGGCCTCTGGCACCCAGGTAGTGGCAGAAACCAGTGTCCCAGTCCCTCCGGTCATGGTGCGGGCAGGGCAGTTCCATGACATCAGCACTCAGACCATCCAGGAAGGGGCCACCCTGTCACTGAAGCGCAGGCAGGTGCCATGCTGCTCCGAGACTGGGGAGGAAGACCACAGCCAGGCAGCGTGTCCTAGGGCCGAGGACCAGCCCCCGGCAAAGCAGGCGCCTCAGCCTGCAGCAGAAGAGTCGGGAAACAAGATGCGGGCTGGGGCCGTGAGCCACCCCAAGCCCTAGGAAGCATAGGCTCAAGATATCCAGGCACCCCCTCCCCTAGCAGGCAACACAACTATTTTAACGAGGGGAAGGGGCAGTCCACAGAAACAGTGGGGGCCTTGACTGGGGCACAGGGGCAGGGCAGCGAGGCCGAGGCCCCACCCCAGCCCCCTCAGCCTCTACCAGCTGTTAGGGACTCCACCAACCAAGCCAAAATCAGCTCAGGGAGGCACCGGCGACACAAGCGGGGAGCCACCATACGCAGCACGAGGCGTACCCGAGCCTCAGACAGAGACCCCAACACAGCAGAGGCTGAAGAAGGTATAGTCGGGGGCTCTGGCGTCAGCCCTGTCTTCTGGCCACCCTCAAACGCCCACCCTGGGGGCTCTGAGCTAAGGGTGTTGATGGGCCCCCAGGCCACGCGGGGCCTAGAGGCGCCTCCCCCGGGGCCGCCCCTGCCAGAAGGAGCCGGCGCTGGCGAGGAAGGGCTGTGGGGCAGAGAGGAGATGCCCCGGAGGGACACCGCAGGGTCCAACTTCAGGATCATCTACACCGCTCGAGGGGAGCCCCGGGAAGGCAGCACCCTGGAGCCTCGCGCAGGTGAGGGCAGGAGCAAGTGTCCTCCCCCTGCAGCCTGAAAGGGCAGTAGGGGCAAGGACAGCAAACACTGAGGAGACGATCCCATGCGAGAGCGTCAGCTCAGCTTGGCAGGCAGGGCGCTGAGTACCTGGTTGCCCAGTACCCCACAACTGGCTTTGGTGTGAGTGGGGGTGCAGGGAAGCGTTTGTTCCGAAGGAGGAGGAGGAGGAGACGGAGGAGGGAGACTTGGAGAAGAGGGGGAGGGGGAGGGGCAGGAGGGGGAGGGGGTCCGGGCAGGGTCCAAGAGAATTAGTTGGCGGGAGGAAGGAGTGTTTTGTTCTCCCTAGGTTTGTGCATGGCCACTGGAGACCTGGGACTGGCCTGGAGAACCACAGCTCACCAGCTGCCAATGCCAAGGCCAGCCCCAAAGCCTGCCGCCTGGGAGCAGCCCTGAGTGGCCAGCCCCGGCCTAGGTGAGGGGCACCTGCAGATGGCTGCCACCCACACTGGCCTGGGAGTCGTTAGGGGCCACTCAAGGTGCCTGGGCCTCCCTCCTGAGAGGGGACCCCTATTCATCATCCCCTGGGGCAGGTTGCTCCCTGTACTGGCAAGCCCAAATGTGTCCCTCTAGGCCCCAGAGGGACCCAGGTGTCAAGGAACCCCCCAGCCCCCGCTCCCCTCCCCCCAACACACACACCCTAGCCATCGCCCCCCCGCAGAGCCCTGAGGTGCGCCACGTGCCAGCCAAGGCTCTGGTCTCTGTGGGCCAGTGTCGTGAGCTCAACGTGTGCTTTCTGGGCATAGATTCAGGCCCAGCGCTGCCTGTTGTTGTGGAAATGTGCGTGTGTTCCCCTCTGAGCAGTTCCCCCAACCCCTGCGCGGCGTGGAGACCCCGAGCCCAGTCCCAGGAGCCGGCGCGAAGGACGGGATGGACGAGGTCAGAGCCAGCACCCAGCCCAGGACCTGGGATCCCACCTGGGACCTTGGGAAGGAAGACCTTGACCGTGGCTGCAGGAGGTCTGCGGGAGGCCCCCAGGGCTTGGGTTCTGCCGGGCCACCCCGTTGTTCCTCGGGACTCCACGTCCCCGGCTCGGTGGCGCGCGCCCTGCTGTGGGACTGTCCTGTGCCCGCCATCGGGCAGGGCCGGGTCCCGGGCATGTGGGCCAGAAATGGAGGGTCTGCCCTGGGGGGAGCGGGCATGGCCGGCGCCCATCTTCCTGGCGAGACGCCACCCGCGGGGCCCTCAGGAAGGGAGACTGTGGGGAGACGGAGGGCCGCCGGGTGGGGTGTAGCGGAGGCACCTTTTGGAGGACCCTGGGGGGGGGGCCGGGACCCGTGGGCTCCGGTGGCCGTTAGAAGTTTCTCTGTGTGTTGTTATGCCCTCTGTTCAATGGTTTCAGTCAATGTTTCTGTTTAATAAATTTCCCTGAACGTTTCATCTGAGTCTGGCCTCTGCTGTGGGCAATGGAGTGAAGGGGCTGCCGTGGTGGGGTCATGGTTGGGGGCAGCAGCAGTGGCCTGGCACCCCGAGTCGGCACGGAGGTACGGTCCGGGCAGGGTCCAAGAGGGTCCGTGTGGTCTCCTGGGCTGGATGGAGCTGGGCGGCAGGGCCTTGTGGGCACGGGCCATGGCTGGTTGGGTCCCCGGGAAACTCGGGGAGTCCCCGGGAACCAGTGGGTTAGGCGTCAGGGGGAGGGGGAGGGAAGGCAGGCAGGACCGGAAGCTCCAGGATCCCTGGCAGCTCTGTGAGGGCTCGGGGCACCCAGACGGTTCAGAGAGGTCACGTGTGCCCTCCCAAGGACCAGCCGGCCACAGAAGGGTCCGGGCGTGAGGTCAGAGGCCCCTGCCAGGAACGCAGTGCAGGATTCCGGGGTGGGGGGTGTTTGCCCACCTGCCTGAGATTAGTCTACCCCTGCCGGCCCACAGCGGCCTGCCCTGGTCTAGGTGCTGAGGGACGTTTGGAGACCTGGGGCTATGGGGTGGCCGAGGGAAGGAGGGCCGCCCAGCAGGAGGTGCAGAGCCCTCAGGCCCTGGGTGGGGGCACAGAAAGGCAGGGAGAGCTGTCCTCCACTTTAAGTCCCAGGCGGGGCGGCCCCCCGAGGGGCAGGGGCGCCCCCTCCCTGCCCCACTCCTCTGCATCCCTCCTGTGGCGGGGGGGGGGGGGGGGGGGGGGGGGGGGGTTGGGGTCCTGTGAGTGGGAGGCTGTAGATGGGGCCCCGGGATGACCCCTTCCTGCCCAGAGGCTGGCTCTGTACCCCCGGGTCCCTCTGTGCCACCTGAGGAGGGCATCGGCCAGGCTGGAAGGCACTGCTGATCCGGGAGACCCCTCCCAGAGGGCCGCGGTCTGGGGGGCAGTTCTCGGTGGCGGCTGTCATCGGGTTAGGAGCCAGGAACCGTCTTCCTCGACATCCCTTGCCCCTGCCCCCCCCCCCCCCCCCGGGTCCTACCTTCTCACCCCAGGGGATGGATGAGCCTGGTGCAAATTGGGGGCTGCCCTCCATCTGCCTTTGAAAGGATTCAGAGTCTTCGGGGGAGGGAGCAAGGGATTGGGTCCCTCCTTGCAGGGTGCTGTTAGGAAGAAGGCCATGCCTGCAGCCTCCTCGGCCCAATGGGCTTGGTCCCTTGTTGTGGGGACACTTGGATGTGTCCCATCATGCTGCATTGCAGGATCCAGGAGAGGCCCCAGGTGGGGCCCGTGACTGTCAGCAGGGCAATGGCAACCGGCCCCTTTCCAGAAGCCCCTGAGCTTCTGGGGGCAGGACAAGAAGAGAGGGGATGGGAGGGGGCCGGTCCCTTGTCTCTCCCTTATTCAGAGTGTGCCTGTGTTTACATGTTCCCTGGGCAGGTGCGAGTGTGTGTGAGTGAGTGGGAGTGTGCAAGAGAGTGTGTCAGAGCTCGCAGGTGAGTCTGAGTGTGTACTTGTGGGAGTGGTGTGTGTCACTGAACGTGTGTGAGGGTGTGTGTGCGTGTTGGGTGGCTGGTGGTTTTGAGTCCTCCTAGGGTGGCGAGGGGCAGCCACTTTCCCGCCTCTCCCACGGCAGGGGCATCCCAAGGAGGGCCGGACCCCCCAGGCAGGCTGACCCAAGAGGGACCCTGGGAATCAGCCCTCCTCCTCCTGGGCCTGGCACAGAAGAGAGAGGACCCCGCCCCCAGCCCCCGGAGGCCCCTGCCTCCCAGCCTTGCCCTGGTAGGGAGAGGATTTGGAAAGAGGAATGTGCACTTTTCCCCCATCGGCTCCCTTTTTCCTTTGCCTGTTCAGTGGGACCACCCCTCTCCCTGACCCCACCCCCACCTGCTGGCTCCTTTGCCTAGGGCCAGTAGGCAAGGTTCAAAGACCAGGTGATCTCAAGCCACTTCCCCAGGCCTGGGAGATGGACCCACATCCCCTGGCTGCTGGGGGCCCCCAGAGCTGTGCACCCCGAATTCTTCCATATCCAGGTGGGCCCCGTGCCTGGGAGCTGGCTCTGCCCTCTGAGATTTTCCCCACTTGAAGCCCCCATCATTTGGGGTGCAGCCCTTCTCAAGGCCGCCATCCTGCTCCAGACCCCACGTCCTCCTCCTGGAGCCTGGAGCAGGGCCTGCCTCCAGAGCCTGAGCTTGCTGTCCCTGTACTCGGGGGTGGTTCCTGTGAGCACTTTGGCTGTCAGCACCTCGGGCTGCCCTGCTTTTTCCACAGCTACCCACCTGGGCTCAAACTCATGGCTGTCTATCTCACAGTAGAAAGATTTAGCTCTCTATCTCCCCAGCACCTTGTTGCAAGCCATGGTCCCCATCGCAAAGATGGAAGTTCAGCCCCTTCAACAGATTGCTTTCCTATGCCAGAGTATGGCTGGGGCAGATTTCTCTCCACCAGGGCTGCCAGCAAGCCCAGATTACCAGTGAGTACCCTTGTGGCCTGTGGCGCTGTTCCAGGGCACGTTGTACTGCTGAAGACTGGGCCCTGACCTTCTCCCTGAGGCCAGCTCCAGGTGTCCTAGCACATGGCCACCTGGGCCCTGCACAGGGTGATCCCCACGCTGCGTGCCGTCCACACTGTGCTTCTGTGCACTGCTCATGGCAATGCTTTCCATGGCACTACCGCACCTTGCTTCCAGTCCCACGAGGCAGTCTGAGAGCCATGATCCCACCTGGTGAAACAAGGGACAGCAGAAACCTGGCACTAATGGCCCCGTAGCACTACAAAGGTGCTGAAGGGTTTGGAGCCTGGGAGAAGGGTCAGCCCTACACCCAAAAGCTTGCATCTCTGAGTACTGACTATGTACCAGGCACTGGGCTGAGTCCCTGGGCCCGCACTCGCTGCTCAAGTCCTTAGAGGAGCTCTGGGGGGCAGGTGAGCACTGTTACGGCCCCTCTGCTCCTGTTGAGGACACTGGGCACAGGAGGGTTCAGAGACTTGCCTGAAATGCCCCAGCTCGTCAGCAAAGGCGCGGGGATTCCAGGCTAAGCCGGCACACCGCACAGCCCCGGCCCTGGAAAAGCAGCCACAGCCCTGGCTGGAGACACGTGGCTAGCAGTGCCAGTCCTGGATACGCACCTGAGGGCTTCGAGGCACATTGTTAGTGGTGACAAGGGAGTGATGGCCCCTGGCCTTCCGCTCCTCCCTGACCCCAGGCACGGCCCTGTTGCTGGCCCTCTGCCTCTTCCGGGGCAGGTGTTGGGGTGTCTCTCTGGCATCCCCTGGGATGTCACCCCTCACATCCTCAGGGCCTCGCTGGGTATCTCCTTGTGCACTGCGGTCTGTGCACACAGCCCGGCTGGTTCTCAGGCAACACAAGCTTGTTTCTCACAAGGCTCCCCACCCAAGTGAGAGGACAAGTGAGGGTGGCCAGGTCCTGCCAAAAATGGAAAACGAGAAGGAAGAGAGTGGCAGAGGGCCGAGGTGAAACCGAGACAGGCCATTCAGCTCACCTCCCTGAGCCCCTGCTCTGGACAGCTCGCCAGACGCCAGCTGGGGGCCTGCGAATGTGGGCTCCAACCCCAGATCCTGACCTTGAGGGGCAGCTGCCCGCAGGCCATGTAATGCGGAGACCAGCGCCCGGGCTCTGCGGGGGGCGGGGCACCACAGGTGGGCCGGATCGGTGGTGCGGGTGTGGGCTGCACGCCAGGCAGGGAGGACTCAGACCCCCACCGGCACCCCGCCCGTCTCGGGAGTCAGGCTCCATGGTAGAGGCCAAGGAAAGGGCCGAGAAGGGACCTGGCACAGTCTTGGAGTTGGAGGGGGCCTGGCACAAGTGGGGACATGGCCAGATGAGGCTGTGCAGGAAGGCGGGGGTTGCCCTGCGGGGCTGAGCTTGAATGAGGGGACGTCTTTGACCACCTCATCTCAGGGCCTGCGGGGTCCTTCCCGGGGCGGGACTGGTCCCTGGGGGAGGCCTGGGGAAGGCTCCAGACCGGCAGCAGGGCCTCGGGGTGAGCAGGGCCGAGCCACTGCCCACATGTGTGCTCCAGACCCCGTGCCCTTGCCAGGCTGTGGGACGCAGCCCTCATCCTGCAGCGCCTGTGAGGTTTGAAACAAGGACCTCCTGTCTCCCTTGGCTGTACTTGCTCCCAGGACCGTGCCTCCTTGACCCAGAGCCTAGCACATACCCTGTCCTTGGAGGCCCTCAACCTTGTCGGGCACAGTCCCCAGGGCAGCTCCCCCCCAGCCTCTCATCTGCATCCCTGGCTGCTCCGGGACAACGCCTCCCTCTGTGGGGCTCCAGGGGTGCAGCTCCGAGCTGTGCAGGGGGCGGGGCCTCTCTCTAAGGCCACAGAGAAGAGAGCTGGGCACAGGGGCCTCCTCCAGGCAGCCCCTGCCACCCCTCGGAAGGGTCCTCCCTCCTTCCCCATGCGGACCCAGGTTTCTCTTCCTTCTCTTCTTTCTCTCCAGCCCTGTTGGGCTCACCCCTTCCTCCAGGACCCTTGTTCTACAAGCTGGACCCAGTCCTCTCCCTTCTCCCCACACTGTCTGCCTTTGCTGTAGCCCTCAGCCCAGTGACTCCCTCCCGTGACTCGGGGGCTGCAGTGGGGCCGGGGAGGGAGATGCTCCACAGGGAAGGCAGAATTGTATTCACCAGCACAACCACTAAGAAAATAACTCAAAAATATAGTAAAAGAAATGAGAACACATGAACATGGTACACTAGAAATGATCTATTTAACACAAAGAGGCCATAATGGAGGAATAGTGGGACAAAAATGACATAAGACATATAGAAAAGAATGGCAGACATAATCCTGTGTTATCAGGAATTACATTAAATATAACTGGATTAAGGATTAAAGATGCCCAACTTCTTTTGTTTTCAGGGAAATACGAATTAAAACCACAGTGAGGCCAGGTATTGGTGCTAATAGCCAAGATGGCAACTGCCTGGAGTGTTTATGAGGTTGAATGTTCCCCAATATGTCTGACACCAGTGTCCATGTTTCCAGGGTGAGCTGTAGCCACCCCCTG